GACCCCTCCAGGGCAGGGCCATGTCCCCTCAGACCCCCCAGGGCAGGGCCATGTCCCCTCTGACCCCTCCAGGGCAGGGCCATGTCCCCTCCGACCCCCAGGACAGGGTGGTGGTCCCAGACACTCACTCGATCTGGTCAGACAGGCCACTGTAGATGTCTTCATCACCCACGGTCTCCTCCTCAGTGGGGAAGGGCCTGAGGGAGCCAGGACGGTATGAGCCAGAGGCCTGGGGGCCAGGGACGGGGACTTGCAGGAGGGGTAGGACTGGAGCCGGGTCAGCCCAAGGATGCCAGCTCAAATGGTTACTCACATGATCCCCTTATTCTGGGCAATCGGGGTCCAGGACAGAGCAGACAGGGTGTAGATGACCTGTGACAAGGGCCATGGGCCACTCGGTAAGCCCCTTGCCCACCCACGGGCTCAGGCTCCAACCCCCAAGGCCAGACTATCACAGTTGTACTCCATGCCCCTGGGAGCTAATTCAGGGTTTTCTCCCCCTTCCCACTCCTCTGTGTGAGCAGATCAGGGTTCCCTTAACTGAGCACCCACCACTCGATCCCCTAACTCTATGCAATCGTCATAACCACTCAGAAAGGATAGGATGGTATTATTCCTGTGTTACAAAGGAGGCACCTAGGGCTCAGAGAGGCATGGCCACAGATCTGAGGTCACACAACCAGTAGCAAAGCAGGGACTAGAACCCAGTTGTGCACACCCCAAGCCAACCCCTTTGCATCTGGTGTATGGCCTGGTCTGACTTCTCTGTCCTTCCCCCCAACAGCACTTAGATTTCCCAGTGTAAATATTCATGGAAAAGAATGGAAATCCAATCTTCCACCTCTCTGTGCCCAGCTCGCGGGAAGTTCAGCACCAGCTTACCTTCCCAAAATCCTGGACATCAAAGAGGTCAAAGGCCTCAAAGAGTTCACTCCGCTTGAGGCCAAACTTCTCACAGCAGGTAGACAAGAAGGTACGTATGTTCTTAAGGCACAGGAACTGTGAGGAGAGACAGAAATGGGGGTGGAGGGAACATAACAGGACAGGGGAGAAGCTGAACCCTAGGCAGTCTGACTTGGGAACTGGCATGGAAGGGAGAAAAGAAGGCACAGCCTCCCTCTCACACCCTCTTCTGATAAAGACAAGTGTACCTGAAGCTTGATCTACCCCTGAAATCTTTTTTTTATTGAGGCAAAATTCACATAACATAAAGGTAACCATTAACTGATAACAAAATGTATTCCGTACCTACAATGGAATATTACACAGCCAGAAAAAGGAGGGAAATTTTGATTTATGCTACAACATGGATGAATTTGGAAAACACTATGCTCAGTGAAATAAGACACAGAAGGATAAGCCACAACAAGGATTATATGATTCCACTTACATGAGGTCCCTAGAGTAGGCAAATTAATAGAGACAAAAAGTAGACGGTGGGAGCCAGGGTTGGAGGAGGGAATGGGGAGTTAGTGTTTAATGGGGACAGAGTTTCTGTTGGGGAAGAGGAACAGTTTTGGGTGCCGTGGCAATGCTTACACAGCACTGTGAATGGGTTTAATGCTACTGAATTGTACACTTACAAATGGTTAAAATGATAAGTATTCTGTTATTTATATATTCTCCAGTTTCTATAAATTTGTATTTATAGTTATCAAATATATTTGTATCATTGTATTTATGTATATAATATTGTGTATCTTTTACCATAATAAAAAACCTAACCATTAACCACTTTAATTTTTTGAAGTTTATTTATTTGGGGGGGGGGGAGGGGAGGGGCAGAGAGAGAAGGGGAGAGAAAATCCCAAGCAGGCTCCACACTGTCAGCACAGAGCCCAAAGTGGGGCTCAAACTCACGAACCATGAGATCATGACCTGAGCCGAAGCTGGATGCTTAACCAACTGAGCCACCCAGGCGCCCCCCAACCATTAGCCATATTAAAATGTACACTTCGGTGACATTTAGCATATTTGCAATGTCATGCAATGATCAATTCATCTAGTTCCAAGACACTTTTCTCAGCCCACAAAGAAACCCTGTACCCATTAAGCAGTCACCTGTCATTCTGCACTCTCTTCCTTCTCGCTGGGAACCAGTGTCTGTTTTCTGTCCCTACGTATTCACCTATGTCCATAACTGATAAGTGGATAAACAAAACGAGGCATATCCATACAATGGAATATTATAAAGCCATACAAAGTAGCAAAGTACTGATACATGCTACAAAATGGATAACCCTCAAAACTGTGATGCCCAGTGAAAGTGGCCAGGCACAAAAGGTCACATGTCGTATGGTGCCATTTATAGGAAACATCTCTGAAGGTTGCAATTTCACGAGTCAACACGTTCCTTTCCTGTTTAAATCAGTCTGGGTTGGGTTGTAGTGACTTGTAACCAGAAGATATAAATTGATGTAGCAGTCAGACCTACAGGATGTCCCTCTGGGTTTGGGGAATTTGGTTCTATTGTTGCCTTATGTCAACTCACCCAAATGCCCCAATGGGCTCTAAGGTCCCTAGATCCTACAGAATCCGAACCAAATTTCTTGACCACAGTCTTATCTCACTGCTTTGCAGGAGCACCTACCATGTGCCCAATCCCAGCTCTCTCTATATACATATATATTTAATATGTATATATAGTATTGTATACATTAAAGGCATACTATGTGATGATTTGATATGCATATTCATAGTGAAATGATTGCTACAGTCCAGCAAATTAACATCGCATCTCCTCACACAGTCACCATTGTGTGTGGCTCAGCACACCTGAAATCTACTCGCTTAGCGTTTTTCCAGTGCTTGAGACAGTATTATTCAGGACGGCAGCTACATCATGCCCATACATTAGATCCCTAGACTGACTCATCCTACCTAACTGCGATTTTGGATGCTTGGACCACCGTCTCCCCATTTTTCTCATCCCCCCCCACCCAGTGCCTACTAAGCTTCTACTCTCTGCTTCTATGAGTTTGACTTTCTCTCTCTCTCTCGGAATTCTTGCAACAATCCTGCAAGTAATGTTATAGCCTCATTTTACAGAGAAGGACACTGAGGCACGGCCAGCCAGCCAGAAAGCAAACCCAGGCAGTGTGATTGCAAGCATTTTGCCAGAGCAACATAATTGCTGCCTCCACAGTATACCCAACCCATTATCTATGTAACATGAACTTTAAATAAACCTTAACTGAAATAAATGTATTTAAGAAGAGAACCTTACACCCTACTATCAAAAAAACAAAAAACAAAAAACAAAAAACAAAACAACCCAAGGATCATTTGCTATGAAAAGAAGCCAGTGTAAAATTAATGCGATGTAAACAATGTTACTAAGTGCCAGCTGGATATTCTGTTGCCTACCCAAGGCTTGTTCTCTCTCTGTTCAAAAGAGATTAGCAACAGTAAGAGATGCCTAAGAAACAGCGATTCAACATCCATTTGTGATAAAGAGAGAGAGAAAAGGGGAAAAAAATGACTCTTGGTCAAGTAGGAATGGAAAGGAATTTCTGTAACCTGATAAAGAGAGCATCTTCAAAAAATCTTAAACCAGGGCGCCTGGGTGGCTCAGTTGGTTGAGCGTCTGACTTCGGCTCAGGTCATGATCTTGTGGTCTGTGGGTTCGAGCCCCGTGTTGGGCTCTGTGCTGACGGCTCAGAGCCTGGAACCTGCTTTGGATTCTGTGTCTCCCTCTCTCTCTGCCCCTC